GGGGGGGGGGGTGTGTACCCCGAGTGGACAGACATCCTGTGTGTGCTTTACAGAGACTCCAAAATTTGTAGGGGCGTTAAGGTTCTTTCTTCTTCCCTCTTCTCCTCCGCTTATTCAAGTTGGAAAGAACCTTAGACCCACCTGGTTCATTGTCCAGGCGTCGGTCTCTCCCTGTGACCTCTGCCCCTGCTTCGGCGAGGGTCAAGGGCTGAGCAGGCGTGTACAGAATCGCCACCTTGGGGCTCAGTCAAGCTCGGGAGATTTGGAGAGAAAGGACACCTGGCTTATAAGGGCTTTCTCCCCACTCTCCCTCCCTCCCACAAGTGCCCGGCTGCCATGGCCCAGCGGAGGGGAGGGGAGGGGAGGGGAGGCGAGGCTTCTCTGCTGACTGAGCCCAAGTCGACAAACTGGAGGTTGATCTCAACAGCCAGAGGCTTGTTACTTGCGGCCGAGAGCATCAGCTGTTTCTAGGACTTGAAAGCAACTTTTCAAAAACGCCAATAATTAACAGACTCTTCAGACACACCTTAGCTGGTCCCAGTAAGGTTTCGCCAGCCCTGAGAGGGGCAGTGATGTTCATTTGACTGTCCCTTTGCGGGGGCCAGGCCCACAGGTGCCCTTTAGACTCGGCTGCCTGACTCGTCACTTCTGTGGGCGGACTTCCCGGAGAGCCTGCTCTTACCGTGTGCTGTAGGGTTTCCTTCCCTTTGCATTTAGCTTGGACGGTGGGAAAGAGAAAGTGGCTGCAGGGCACCCGAGTGACATTTGTGTCTCCACCCGATATATGTTTCATAACCACGCCGTCGTTAACGGCACACTTCGCACGGAGCAGGAGGAAGTTCTAAATGTGCTTTCTCTCCCTTTGGTGCTCACCAGTGATTTTCCGAACTGGACCCTTCACTGCTGTTGAGACAGTTGTGCGTCCATTTGTTAGCATGTCTTTGTAAAAGACTCCAGAGCCTTCTAGCCATTAGCCACACCAGTTCCATGTGTGTGCTCACCGCTGCCCATCCCACCCTCTCCAGTCCAGGACTCTGGGAGGGACTGGGGGTGTGCACGCGGCTGCCAGAGCCTGGCCTCTTCTCTTACTGCTCGGAGGTTTGGGATAAGCGTAGACACATGAACTTACCGTTGGTCTACCGTGAGGCCCTCCAGTACTGGGACCCTGGCTGTCCCCTAAGTGGACTGTCTTCTTCAGAGCGTGCTCCGCCCTCTTCCATCTAGAGTGGGTCTGAGCACCATTGGGGGTGTTGGGAGGCCAAGGCTTAGCCGTGTGTGACCGTGTGTGACTGGCAGGCCAAGCCTCAGCGGGCTGTCTCGGGTCCGTGCAGCTCTCAGGAAGCCCCTTTCCCCTGTGGGGTGCAGTCTGCCCACTTGTGAAACGAGAGGGTCTCGAGGGAGTGGGCGCGGTTCTGTGGCAGTGTCTGGAGGCGTTTTTGGCCGTCACAGCTGGAGGGGGGCGGCCGATGACATCTGGTGGGTAGAGGCCAGGGGTGCCGCGCGCCCCCCTTTGGTGCCGGTCGGCCTAGGATAAAGACGACTCAGTGCAAATGCCGGGGCGCACGGGAGGGGAGACCGCGGGTGAGCCGGCAGGGCCTCATCGGGGTGATCCTGATCCGCCAGGGCCCTCGCCCGAGCGTCTGCACGGTGTGCCTCGCGTGGGCCCCTCGTTGGGTGACCGTAGTTGGCGCCTGCACGCCTGTGCTGACAGGGCGGAGGCTGTCGCCCTGGGGGTCCGAGCCTGACGGGACAGGCGGGCGCAGAGACACACAGGGCAGCGCGGGGAGCGGCCCTGAGGGTCCCGCAGCCCTCAGCCGGGTCTCTGTGGCCCGCAGTTCCTCCGGGTCACGAAGCAGTACCTGCCCCACGTGGCGCGCCTCTGCCTGATCAGCACGTTCCTGGAGGACGGCGTCCGCATGTGGTTCCAGTGGGGCGAGCAGCGTGACTACATCGACACGACGTGGGGCTGCGGCTACGCGCTGGCCTCCGCCTTTGTGCTCCTCAACCTGCTGGGACAGCTGAGTGAGTGGCCCTGATACTCGCTGGCTTACCTTGTGGGCGGGGACGGCAGGTCACTCGAGGGGCTCCCGGGCCGGCCGTTGCCGGCCCTTTCCCCCTCCCTGGCGGGTGGGCCGGGCCTGGGCGTTGGTTCTGTGGGCCTTCGGGTGGGTGCTGTGCTCACTGAAGACCGATGACACGGGCCCCGCTCTAAGCGCCTGGACCGGGACGCGGGGGAGACTGGGTGACCCGGGTGGGCCGGAGGGGAGCCAGAGCAGGGGAAACGCAGGGTGTCAGAAAGGATGAATCGGTGGCCGGATTCACGTGGGCCACAGATCTTCTGCTCCCCGGCTGCTGTCTGCTGGCGGCAGCCCCCCTCCCTGTACATTTTGGGGCCGGAAAGGGGCCTGCGCTTCTCAGTCCGTCCTGTAGCTCCCACGGCAGTTTCCACTGCACCGCCTGCTCCGGAAAACGGCCCATTCCCTGGAGCAAGGGATCCGTTTTCTAGAACGGTATCTTCGATAAGTAAGGTCCCGTTGACTCGTGTGTGGTCCGTGTCTACGATGAATTCTCCCAGGAGTTGCTCTTTTCTCGGGGCGCGTGGCTGGGCCACCAACTGCGCAGGGCTCAGGTGAGGGCGCCAGGTGCCGTGGCGGCGGCCCTCGCCCGGAACTCGCCCGCGGCCCCCTGAGCCTGGCCCTTCTCCTTTCCAGCCGGCTGCATCCTGGTGTTGAGCAGGAACTTCGTGCAGTACGCCTGCTTTGGGCTCTTTGGAATCATAGCGCTGCAGGTACGCGGGGCTGGGTCTCTTCTCTTCCTTGCCGTGCTTGGGGCATAGCTTCCGCAAAGGCGTCTCTGAGGATGCGGCTTCACCCACTTGTGTCTCTGCCTGGGTCTCCTTTTCTTTCCTGAGAAAACACTGGATTTTCCCGAGTGCAGGCTCAGGAGAGCTGGAGAGGATGGGGCCCCTGAAAAGGTGCCAAGCTCTGGGCGCCCACCTCTTTGCCACCTTCCCGAGTTTCCTCTGATGGGGACAAATGACAGGGTTGGCTGCAGCCAGGACACTTGTCTTATCGTTTTACCTCGTGAACACCCAGCTGGCCACATGAGCTGTGTGCACCTGGACCAGAGCTCCCGGGCGCCGTGCCGGCACCTTGCGGGCTGGGTGCTCCCAGGGAACGGTGCTCGTTACGCGGGCCTGGGGTGGTCAGCACAGCTCGAGAAATGCTGAGCCTGTGGTTGAACTCGGAGCTGTCCTGGGCTCCTAAACTGTCCCGTGCACCTTATGTTTACGCTTCTGTGGGAGAGATTGCCTACTGCTGTTCTCAAGAAGTCCCAGTGCGTTTGGAAACGTGAGACTCAAGTTTCTGTCTCTTCTCTGTTCCCTTCAGACGATCGCCTACAGCATCCTGTGGGACTTGAAGTTTTTGATGAGGTACGTGCGCTCCACATGCTGAGCTTGCTTTTCATGTCTGTCGACTCAGTAACTAGCAGTCGGGAGTGAACTTCTTGGGGTCCAAGCACTTGGAGTCTGTAGGAGGTGTTGGCAGAGGCTCCCTCCCCCAACAACCCCCCACCCGCACCCCGGGACACAGGTGAGAATGAAGCTGTCCCTCCCAACCCCCTGTTCATGAGGGAGGGAAGGAGGGCCGGAATGGCAGCATTTGCTCACAGGGACCCAGCTGGTCAACAGCAGGGCCAAGGCCGGGCCAGGTTCCGAGTGTGTTCAGGTTAATGTCACTGTTGGGCGGAACAGACCCATCTGTCTTCAGCCGTGGAGCGGCTGTGAGTCCTGTGGACTCACACCCGGCCGGTCCGGCACGGTTTAGAGAGAGGGACCTAAGGGCCCTCCCTTCCTGTGCTCCCGCCGAGGTCTCCCGACCTGGTCTGACGGGCGTGCGTAGTGCCTGCCGAGCCCCGGCAACTCAGCTGGCGTTTCTGTCCTCAGGAATCTGGCCCTGGGAGGAGGCCTGTTGCTGCTCCTGGCGGAATCCCGTTCCGAAGGGAAGAGCATGTTCGCAGGCGTCCCCACCATGCGCGAGAGCTCTCCCAAACAGTACATGCAGCTTGGAGGCAGGGTTCTGCTGGTCTTGATGTTCATGACCCTCCTTCACTTTGATGCCAGCTTCTTCTCGGTAAGCGCTCCTGCCTGCGTATGTGGACCTGGGCTTCTGTCCTTCAGAAAGGGCCCCGATCTCTCTTTCCCGCCTGTGCATGGAGCCTAGTCCAGGGGCTGTTGGAAGGAGTCGGCTTAAAGGAGGCAGACGTCGGATCCTACTAAAAGGAGTAAACACCCAGCAAGCTCTTAGGGGCCCGGAGCTGACAAAGGAAGTCTAGAGTCTCCCTGACCTCACTGGAGGTCCTGGTATCCTGTGTGCCGGCTTCCAGGCGGTCCACCCGGGCTCTTTGCAGACCCTTGGTTCTTTAGCTGCCCACTGCTCGTACCTTTATCGCGTGCTGTGTGCACGCCGGGTGTCTCGTCCCCGGGAGCTTTACAATGCCCGTCTTTAGAGCTGGCTGGGCGCCCTGGCCGGGAAAAGCTCCCAGGAGGGGCACCTGGCGCCATGGGAGGGGGGAGCCCGCTCCTAAGAAGTACTGGGGACTACCTGGATGGCTTGGGGGCCCGCAGGCCGGGGCCTGAGTGTGTCCTGGTAAATTGCAGCCTGTTCACCGAAGCCCCTGGCGCCTCCCTCTTTGTTCCTCACTTGAATGCACATCCCTGTGTGACATCACCTGGACACATACCGCAGTGACAAGGGCAGTTGGAATATCTCTTCTTCCTCACCTTTTTTTTTTTTTCTTACCTTCTAACCTATGCAGATTCTCCAGAACATTGTGGGCACAGCTCTGATGATTTTAGTGGCCATTGGTTTTAAAACCAAGCTGGCTGCTTTGACTCTTGTCGTCTGGCTGTTTGCCATCAACGTGTATTTCAACGCCTTCTGGACCATTCCTGTCTATAAGCCCATGCATGACTTCCTGAAGTACGATTTCTTCCAGACCATGTCGGTGATCGGAGGCCTGCTCCTTGTGGTGGCCCTGGGCCCCGGGGGCGTCTCCATGGACGAGAAGAAGAAAGAGTGGTAACAGACCCCTTCCCTGCCTGGCTAGGACCCGCGGCCATCGAGGACTGGTTCGGGGTGGATTCGACCAAATGCCAGCATTTATGTGTCCTCTTTCCTTCCCTCCCTTGGTAAAGGCACAGATGTTTTGAGAATTTATTTGCAGACACCTGAAATTTGGCGGCTAAATCTGCTCTGGACCCACAGCCTAGTACCCGACCACTGGGGCGGGCTGGCTGGGCACAGCGCCTCCCTCCCCCAGGCACGGCCTCGGCTTCCCACGAGCAGCTTGCTGGGCTGTGGCCGCAGTTCCCGTTTTTGTTTCTGTTTTGTGGGTGGGGGGCCTTCAAGCTGTACTGTGAGCAGATACATTTGTGTATCCTTCAAAGCGGTCTCCCTCTTACTGTTTTTTAAGTTTACGTTTTTAGCTAAAACTAAATGATTTGGGATGGCCCTGCCCAACATCACACAGTCAACGTCCTGGGCGTAAGCCTCGCCCACGGCTCCGAGTTGTCCCCGTGCCGCATTGTAACGCTCGCAGGGACAACAACGGCATTTGGACCCAAACCCAAAGAACGAAGTGGTGCCAGAGGGGCCACCGAGGCTGCCGTTCACTCGGCACAAAACCGGCTCCGATTGGTGCAGCTCGTTGGGTAGGGGAACCCCCCAGGAGCCTCAGTGGCTCAGGGCAGGAACCGGCGGGATTAGAAGTCCCCAGGTGCACCTGGAGCCTATGGGGACCCCCGCCCCGACCCTGGCCTGGCCATATGCCTGCGCGCTGACTCCCGTGAGGGTCGTGGGAGGAGCAGCAGCCTCGTGGGGCAGGGCAGCGATGAAGCGGGCTCTCAGACCAGTTACCTCACCCCCGGTCTTCACACCGAGTCTGGGCTGCCGCCGTGGGCTCCTATGGGCTCGTGTGGGCTCCCGTGGGCTCCGACCTGGCCAAGCGCCCCGCCCGCCTCTCCTTCGGCTGGAGGGACTTTTCCCAAGCTGCGCAGCCGTGACTTACCACTTTCTCAAGGCTGTTGCTTGCTCAGATTTGTCTTTGCTACGCTGAATGCAGCCCAAATTACTTTTTACGATTTGTGATGCCTTACCGATTGGATCTTAATCCTGTATTTAAAGTTTTCTAACATTGCCTTACACTGCGTTTCTCTTCTTGGGGGTGCACGCGCCTGTTGGCTCTTCTCCACTCGTCCACGCTGTAGCGATTGCCACGAGGGGAGAGTTGGACTCGTCTGTGCCTCCCCCAGACCCTCGGGGGGGGGGGGGGGGGGGGGGGGTGGCAGGCTGACCAAGCTAGAACGAGGACTGCCTGAAGCTGGTCTCTTTTTTCCTGGTTCATGGCTAGATGTGCAAGCCTGAGGGCATCCCTAGGGATGCCGGGGCCAGTCCCGAACCAGGATCCACATTTACCAGCCAGACCAGAGCCAGCATGGGGCGGGGAAGCTGCCCCACTTTTGCCTCCCAGTGCTCCTAGAGCCTTACTTGGCTCTGCAGCCTGGACCCGCCAGACCTGACGGGAGCAATGGCACCCCTCTCAATACCCCACCTCACGCCCACACCTCAGCCCCAGATGTTCCCAACGCCCGCCCATTTGCAAACGCCTCCGGCCTTGGAAAAGCAACAGATGGAGAGGGCTTTTCTACTTGGCCACCCGGATGCTCGCCGCACGGGGTGGTTTCTGACTCCGTGCGTCCACCTCGGGGCCACCTCTCGGTCCACCCCCTTTCCCGTCAGCACAGCACCGCAGTCCCATCAGATGACACTCAGCCACGTCCGTCCCTCCGGGACACCTTTGACAGTTCCAACACCTCTGTTGGTTTGCAGGAACGGTCTGACCCCAGGAGGCCAAGGGGTGCGGTCAGAGGGCACCCTCAATGCTGGAGGAGGTTGCTTGGGCCTCCCCTGGCCCTCGGTGGGCTCGTGCCTGGGACGGGGGTAGATGCCTTTGCAGGAAGGAGAGAAAAATACCATCTACCAGTTGGCTTCGGCAAAACCATTTCTGACAATTTTTTGGCTTTATGTGGGAAATAGGTATAAATCTCATTTTATGCTGTATTTTATATCTTAGTTGTGTTTGGAAACGTTTTGATTTTTGGAAACATCAAAATAAATAATGGCATTTGTTGTATGCGGCGTGATCCTCTGGTGTTGTCCAGCTGGGGTGGGGCCTGACCAGGCCTCTCCTCGGATGCCCAGCGAGCCAGCCGAACCCTCTAGGCTTCGCCGAGGCCCGCTGAGAAGCCACGTCCGGAGAGAATGCTTCCCTCGGGGTCCCTGGGGGCTGCTTCCTGGGGATGGGGGGTAAGGTGGCCCTGATGCCAGTGGCACAGACTCCTGGGGACAGCATATGTGAGCGGATGGAGGGGACCCTGAGACACCCACCCCATCGGCTGAGAGGGCGCACAGCAGGCGGCTTGAAGAGGACCCGGGCTCGAGGACCTGAAGGACTCCGGAAAAGCTTTCCACATGTGCTTTTCTCTGGCAGCCGTTTATTAACCTGACTGTTTAAAAGAGCTGAAGCTCTTGGGTTTACGGTGGTGATGTCTGAACTTCTTCGCTGAGCCCAACTGCCTCTGGAACACGAACACGGAGCTCCGGTTAGTGAGCCATCCCTGTCCTCTCGGAGGGGCACCCCCGAGTCAGGCCAGCTGTCTACCCGTGGCTTCCCTGAAATGCCCCCCCCCCCCCGCCCCCAGCGAGCTCTCGATCTCCTGTAGACCCGAGGGTGACGGAACCTTGGCCACGGCCTAATGAGGCCCTCCCACGGGGCCCCTGCGGCGTGCACCCCGGAGTCCCCTCGGACGGGCTGCAGAGCCCAGCGTCTGTGCGGCAGCCCCTGGCCCCATCAGGCCAAAGCAGCCTCGGATTCTAGTTTACTCCCGAAACGTTAGCTTGGCATTTTATCTGCCACAGAAAGGTTCTTTAAACAGGTTTCGTAAGCAAACGGAGAACTGTCGGCAGGGGAAGCTGCCACTCACCTTCCGGCGTTTGAGGACCGGCTCCTGGTCCCCTCGCGTCTCTTCTCCGCCCCCAGGGCCCGTCTCTGTCAGGCCCCTTGGCCTCTCGTCCTCCCCCTCGGTCAGAAAGTCCTCAGTGCCGTCCCCGTGTTCAGTCCCTCCCGGGTCCTTTCTGGTGAACACCTCGGCTGAGAGGGACGGAGGGATGGGCAGTTTTAGGTCCGGGTCACCGTCTGCGCGGGGCTGAGGGGGCGCAGCCGGGACTGAGGGCCCGAGCACACGATGTGGGAGGGAAGGAGGCTGGAGCCTGCTGGCTGCAGGCTCAGGACACACTGGACGTCCGGGGGCAGGGGGGCCGGTCCCACTCACGCGGGTACAGGTCTGTCATGCTGTCATCACTGTCACTTGCAGCTGCGCCGTCCTCACCGGACGAAGGTTCCCAGAAGGCTTCTCCCCGGCGAGGCGGCCCGGCGCCGTCCACCTGGTCCTCCCTCCTCCTCCTCCTCCTGTGCAGGAGGCAGGCGGCCACATACTCCGCGCCCTGCTTCTGACACCTTTCATCTGGGAGACGGGCCGGCACGCCGTGTCTGCCCCCCTGTCCTCCAGAGCAGAGACCAGCTCCACTGGGCCCCCGACCCCCCCCCCCCCCGGTCTGCTGGGTAAAATGTGGTGGCGGGAGGTGCCCTGGCTCAGCTCCGAGGAGAGGAGGGGAGGCCGGTGGGGGCGCGGGCGAGGCGTGAGCAGACGCAGAGCTGTGCCGGGCCCCAGCCTGGGCGAGAGCGGAAGCTTGGACGCTGCTGACCCTGCCCGGAGGAGGTGGGGGGGCCGCAACGAGGCCTCCACACCGTCTTGTGTACAGAGGCCTTGGGGAGGCCGGACGCCCGGCGTGGCGGACACAGACCAAGCCCCGATGAGGAGCGGGGTGGCACTAAGGGGCCTGGCTGTTGAAGGTGGCCCTCTGTGGGCGGCGCTCTCCTGTCTCAGGGAGGAGGGGGAGGGGACCGGGCCCTGGCCTCTGATGTCCCCCACCGCCAGGCTCTTCTCTCCTGCCTCATCTCTGCCACTCGCTCTGTGGCCCCACACGGCCTCGGGGCCAGCGGACCCTACACCTGGCGTCCCCTCTCAGAACCCCCGGCCAGATTCCCCAGCTGCCGGGCTCTGGCTCCTCTCGGCCGCTGGTCCCGTGAGCCACGCGCTCCAGCATCAGGATGACTCTCTTACTGGGGAAAACCCAGTCCCTCTCTTCCCACCCACACCCAGCAGCCCCCAGGCTCTGTGCCAACGTGGGACCCTTCACGGGTCCTTCACTTTTGCCCGTGGGCGAAGACTGGGCCTCATTTCTTCTTGGGGAAACACAGCCTTCAGAGTTCTCTCCGTCATCTCGCCTCTCTCTCCATACCCAGACCCACTGGCTCTGCCCCACCTGGCCCTCTCTTCCCCGTGGGGCTCCCGCCGGCTCTGTCCCCACCTTCCCTTCAGGAGCATCTGAGAAGCGTCTACCATTTCCTCCTTGACACCTCCGTCCCGACACCACCCCGCCTGCTTCTCCCCCTCCTGGGGCTCTTCGTGTCCCCTCTTCCGCAGCTCTGTGGACGCAAACGCCACTCAGTGTCAGTGGTGTGCATCATCTGAGCACTGGCCCGTGTCTTCAACAGCCACCTTCCCTGACACACGTTGAAGAGAACGCTTCATTTCCCCACAAAGCCCGCGACTCAGATGCCACTCTCGTAAGCACCCCGGTTCTCGGGCCAGGAATCCGGGAGTCACAGCTGACTTCTTCCTCTCCCTCACCTACTGATTCTACCCACAGAACAGCTGCAATCTGTCCACGTCTTCCCTGCCAGCACCTGTAGCCCCGGCCACCGTCCCCTTCAGCTGGCTGCACGGCCGCCAAGGGTCCCCTGCTCCACTCCTTCCCATCCCCCACCCCCGCCCTCAAGGGCCACAGTGACCCTGACGCACACAGTGACTGCCAGTCCCTGCTTCAGTCCTTTGTGGCCTCCAAGACCCCCTGTGTCCTTGTCCCACCTACCTTGCTGACCCCGACCCCACCTTGCGTGGTGTCACAGTGGCCGTCCTTCAGGACCTCCCACAACCAAGTGTTTTTCCGCCCCTAACCTTGCCGGAATCCTTCCTCTAACGGGAGCGCTCTCGCCTCTACTTGCTATGTCCCTAAAGCCTCAGCCCAGAAACCCCGCCTCCCCAGGGCCTCCGCATTAGGCAGCCCTCCTCGGCACAAGACCGCCACAGCCACAGCACTCACAGTTACGTCGGGGCCCACTGCCTGCTTTATCGCAGTCTCCGCCACCACCCCTCCCCTGGGCTGGGCCGGGCGCACCGCCAGCTACTGCCAAAAGCTGACTGAGACACCACTTCTGCCCTCGAGGGCACTGGTCCTGGAGAAGAGCAGGCATGCACCCGAAATACTTGTAAACTGAGGCAGGCTGCGTCCGCCCACGGCTACTTACATTCACGCAGAGCTCTCTGGTACCGCTGGCCCTGGGTGTGCCTCAGCACATGCTCGGGGACCTTGTTGATGTGCCGCAGGGTGAGTCTGCAGAACAGCTGGTGCCTAGGGGACAGGCAAACGTGGGCTGGCAGGGATGTTCACAAGGGTCTGGACCAGTGGCTCTCCAACCACGGCTGCATCTTGGAATCATTCCCAGAGTCTGGCAAAGAAGTCTCTGAAGCAGACTGGGCATCAAGATTCTTAAAGGCTGGAAAACAATTCCACTCCGCAACGGGGGTGGAGAACCAGTGACCCGGACGGACCGTGACCTCTCGGTGTTTACCTGGAACACACCTGGTCATCAGCATCCGCTCCCGCACAAGGGAATGCAAGTGAAGACCTGGCTTGGCAAAGTCCTAGATGAACAGGAGCATCCCCCGGCCCCCTCCCTTCAACTAGTGCTGTCAACCGTACACGTTCAGCTACACCAAAGTTCTCCTTAAATACGTAGAACTCACCGCATTCAGAGCCTTAGGTGACAAGCCTCAGCTTTACAAAAAGCAAACACGCACCACGGAGAGGGGGCTCACCGGGGAGCTCTAGCCTGCAACCCGGATGTCCAGTCTCCTAACATCTACCTACGAAGGACGGCGCCAAGCCCTCGAGGAGCGCGCAGCCAGCGGGGAGGGGCCGGGGTTCCGAATCCACCTCGCGGCAGCGGCCAGACTCAGCGCTGGGAACTGGCCCCACTCGGGGCCCCTCCCGCAGTACCCGGCCTGCGCCCCCTCCCACGTACGGGTTCTTGGTGCTGGGCACGATGTGCGGCTCGAACTCCGCGTAATCGAAGGCCGGAGAGGCGCTGACCAGCCGCCGGTACTTCTTGCCGCGGGTGTAGACCTGGAGCTCGGGCAGACGGCAGGGCAACTCGTGGCCGGTGAGAGCGCATTTCACCTGCGGGGCGGAGGGCGGGCGAGAGGGTCAGGGGGTGCGGGGGCCGCCCGAGCAGGTCCGCACCTCCTCCTCCGGCCCCGCGGACCTTAGCGGCGCCGGGCTCCAGCCGCAGACTCGGGTGATCGCGGAGGAAGGCGAGCACTTCGGCCGGCGGCTCGCTCATGGCTCGGCCGCCCTCGGGGCTGGAAGTCGGCGCCGCTCGCACCACGTGGGACGGGGGCGGGGCTCGGCGGCGCCCCGGAAGCAGACGCCTCTCGTCCCGGAAGCGCCGGCGGGGCGGGGAGATGGCGGCGGCGGCGGCGGTGCGGTGGCTGGGGTTTCGCGC